GAGAAGTTATTTGGTGTAATTACATTGCAATGCGTATAACAATATACATTTTGACTTGCGCGCCGCGCCGCTAGGGCACTCCACTGTGCGTCGACCCCGTCAGCGCCTCACTTTTTCATATATCTCGACATATATTTTAAAGTAAATAAAAAATAAAGAGTAAAATGTCTTAAACTCATAAATATATTTATTTAAGCATAAAATTTTCACATTCATCTGCATTACAACCACATAAAGTAACAGAAGTAACATAATTTTTTCTACGATTACATGCTTTAGTTTTACATGTTTTCAAACATTTACATCAATCGATCAGGTATTATTTAACATAAATATGGGTAATACTGCACCATTTTCATCTAGTTTGTAACCAAAATTTTCGATATTCAATGTCTGGTATTTAGAGAATATTGAATTTTTCCAAATATACGTCTGCAATGATGTTCTTAGTATGTGTAGTTGAAAGGCATCATAAGTACATGGAATATTTCCTAAATTTATACCCATTCCACACGTTCGAGAAAAAATATTTAATTTAGCTTCGTGTAACGTTTCACTTTTTTTATTTATTAATTTTAAATAAACTTTTTCTGATTCATACAATTGCTCTGTAGTAGGCTCTAATCCATTTCCTAAAGGAATAAGAGCATTTTGATTGGTTTCATTTTGAAATAAATCTAAAGCCCTGTTTTGTACCGATTTTACTGGTAGTATCACAACCAGTGAGTGCATGCAGGGCTGGTAATAATTGACACACCCGGTAATTTAAAGTTTCAGCAGCTACATGACAAGCTAATAGCTCTGATTTTTGACCATTTATTTTAAAAAATATTCCTTTACATTGTAAAGATTTAAAGTAAGGCCAAAAATAAATACCTAAAATGAAAATATCGGTATCAACTGAATGTATTATAATTTCTGAGTTTGATGGAAGCATATATTGAGCATGACAAAAAATTCTAGAATCTGCTTCTAAATGATTATTTTGCAGTTCAACAATTTCATACATAATATTGTCTTGGATTTTAAAACATTTCTCAATATCATCGAAACCACCGGATATAATCATCTGTTCATCGTTACTTAACGAAACATAATTCGGTACATTTTGAGCATAAAAATTTAACTAATTCGAACTTATTTTTAGTGTTTGTCATCAAAGTATTAATATTATTTGGAATTTTTGTATCTCGACTCTGAATAAGCATATCTGGGGCATTAATACTTTTAGCNATGGTTTGATCGTTTTTTGCACCTGTTTATTCGTTTTACTGCGGCCGGCGTCTTTGAAAATACTCAGGTGGCATGACATAACATTCCTATTATTTGATAAGCTTTAGATTATTCAGTTATTAAATGTTTGAAATTATTTGTCTTTGCGGAAAACACTATTTACAGAATATGGGACCCATAAAGGGTAAATTTACCCATTTTAAAGATATCATCCAAATTTTAAAGTTCTGGTCTTAAATAAACTAAAATATAGCTCCTAGTTTTATCTATTTCATATAATTTTTTCTTATAAGGGATAAAAGGTAAAATACCTTTAAAATAAAATTTTCATTTGGTCGACTTTCGTGGTTTTAAGTTTATTTAAAATAATCTTTTCAGGAATTTCACCTTAAACCCCCTGTATCTCAGAAACCAAACACGTCTCGGCCCAAATACTACTAGAATTTCCATGTTTTTCAATATTTTTTAATATTTTTTCTAGATTGCTCTTATTTGATATTCAAGTAAAAATTAGAATTTTTTTTAATGAAACAAATTTATTTCTCATTTCTACTGGATACTTATAATTTGCCAAAATAATCTTTCACGAAATATTAAACGAGAGATCACGACAAAAAAATTTGCAAAATGGTGTTGATTGAAATACAGAACGCTTACATTTTTGTTTCTAAAATTTTTCACATCTTCCTGAAGGAATTGGAAAAATCATGAAATTTTTTAGTCACAATTTTGTATACATCCTTTATACATTTCAAATACATTTTTCAAGTCTCTCATTTTGCCATCGTTAATAAATTTTCGAGATTTTACGGAATAATTTTTGCTATCAACATGCTGCTACCGATATAATCACATCACCAAAGCTTATTTTTTTTTTATCTTCTCTTGCATAGAAAATATCATCTGTCACTCCCCTCAAAGGAATTACCGCGTTAAAATTACAGCCATTGCTAAATATGTATTATTTGCTGAAACTTTGCTGCACTTTTTTTCCTTGGTACTTTATTCGACAGACTGTTGTAGGAAAACTATTTAAGATCGATGTCTTTTTGTCATGGGTAGTTTTTGCATAATAAAAAATAAAGGGTAGGTCCGAAGTATAAAAAGGTCATCGCATCCATGCTTTTTTTAAAAAGGAATTACTTTTAATGCTTATATCTTAAATAACTATTATTTAGGAACCCTGCAAAGAACCTCCACCGAAATGCAAGAAGCGCGAAGTGAAGCATGAAAAATGCCCCGAGAAAAAGGAGAAGCCCAAGAAGAAATGCACCATAGACGCCTCGCCTCCTGAGGCTTGGACTATTTCTGGCAGCATAAGGAATCTGGATTTCCAGAAGGTAAGCGAGAAATAAAAAAAGCAAATGTTTGGGGATATTTATGACTAAATACTTTATCTGTTATATATTTCGGAAATTGCATTTACAAGATTATTACTACAGTTTGGAATACTTGGCTCGTAACGGTTCATTTCAGTTATTTACTAGACGATGTTCATGGTGCTATGCCTATTTTGTACATCTGCAGAAACTCCTGTAAGTTGTATTTTGAGTAGCAAATTGACACATTAAAAATTCAATTTCCAGATACAACTCGTTGAAATTGTACCACAATACAAAATTTTCTAAAAACTTCATATTTAAATTCATAAGCTAAGTCCGGTTCTGTTACGAGTCGGTGATCCTTAAGCTCTCTGACTCAATTTGAACACTGTTAGAGTTTTGTTGTAACACTCCTGATATACAACGGAAATCATTTGTCAATAATCTTTGTAGTATCAGTTCAGTAAGATGAAAATCGAAAAGTTGAAGGCAGAAATCGGCGTGCCTTCGAACCTGGCCCAGAAAATCGTGTATGAAATGAAAGACTGTCCCAAAGACGACTCGAAATGCCCAACGCGAAACTGGGCACCGCCTGTAGTGGATCACACAATAGACGTGAGTTAACTGTTTTGTCTTATCGCGTTTGCTTTTTGTTTGTGCGTACGGCCAGCAAGTTCCCTGGTGTGAAAAGTCACGTGAACGTTTTCTTTAAGGTAAGTTGATATCGTTCAGTATTTCTTTAATCTCGTCTGGTGGTGACCGGGGAACTTGCTCTCGTACGGATGCGAATGGAATTGTCGATGCAAGTTCCCCGACATTGACGGTTCGGTGGTGACGTTCCCGTTTTTGTTCTGTTGCAGGAAAGTTTCCGGCCCCATGACCCGTGCTGCGAGGAAGCCAAGAAGGGAAGGCAGCGCCGAAGGCGGCCGAAAGTTTTCATCCCCGAACCTAGGAACTATAAATAAAAATGAAAATGTAGTCGCTTGTGCATGTCAATAAAGCTATATCCAAATGGAATTCGAGTGATTTTTATTTGTTTTATTTTTTAAACTTTTTGTATTTTGAGTAGGTATGTGGTATTGGGAACTTTTTAAGGACATTTCATTTTTCAGGATATAAATCATATAATCAATCGGGAAAACCTAGAAAATCTGGAATTGTCGCATAATTTCATCATAAATCTGAATATGTACAATTGTAAACCAAAAAAGTGGTGGGGCAGGGGTTCAGAGGTAGTAATTTTCCATAAACCCCAAAATTTTTGTACAAATCGGCTACAAATATGTTATAGAACAACGCATTAAAATGCACAAGTCATCACGTAGTGAGGAAAAACTGTTATTAATGATTTATGCAGCAAAAATTGCTTTTTTATCCGTTTTTCTTCAAAATCTCAGTTGGATGCGAAGAGATTGTTTTTGATCTAAATGAAATTTTCTGCAAGGTAGCATCGCTACAATTTCTTTTTTTACAAAACTAATTTTGCAGTTAAAAAAAGGCAAATATCAATGTTTTTCTTAAAATTGTTGTCAATATTCTAAAAATTATGTAAACTCCATCAAACTTTCGGAAAATACTCCTCAATTCATATTAGAGATGGGCGGAACATGACTGATTCGGCTCACTGAGCCGGCCCTTTGTACTGAGCCAAGTGAAACGGTTCCTTCTTAAAGATCTGTCCCGGCTCTCGGATCTTTGTGTCGAATGTCGGAAGTGGTGAACCGAAATCAAGAGTAGTGCACCCGCACTCGCACAATTCATGCAGTGCAGGTATCGGGTGTATTATTTGTATTATTCGCTACTTTTTCAAATGATAAATAAGTAGTGAAAACAAATTTTCATTCAAATAAATACAAAAAAATAAATTCACCAAAAAATAATTATTTAATAAAAATTAATTCCAAAATTTTCTTTTTTTTTTTACGTGCTTTCTAAATTGCTAGTTAATAATCAACCGAATATTGATTCTAATATATTTGTATAAAAATAATACATAATTCTATTAAACAATCTATTTTATGTATCTGTTTAATAATTTTATTAA